GTGCGTTTAATGATCCTGAATCACTTCATTCCACATGAATTATGAATATTAATGAACAAGACGGAAGGGCAGCGGAAGATGCGTTGTGCATAGGTTGGAGCCTAAAGCAGGGGTGGTTGTAGCTGCAGGAGGATGTGTCTAGCCACCAGTCAATCTCTTCACAGTCCCCAGCAAACCCTCCAGGCCAGAGGTCATAATTGAAAGTCAGCACAGTGTGTGTATGTGTGTGTATGTAAGCTTCATTACAGAAGCTAAACGGCCATAAGATTTCACCCTGATGGGACCAGAGCATGGGTGGCTGGTGGTGGCCTATTTCTGGGGTCCGGCCCTGAATGCTTGCTATCTGGGGATCTTGCCCTTGAGCATTGCTCCCATTTTGTCATGCTTTTTCCCTCCTCTATTAATTAAAACAATGCGGCCAAGACTTGTGAACAGGCATCCAAAAACCCAGTCATTATAAGGGAAACCGATGCACTCATGTTAATGAGTGTAAGACGAGATGTGTTCTCGAGCTAAAGTGCATAGCGCTGTTTTATTTTTAGCTCTGACAGGGCTTTTGTAATGCTATAAATTAGCACAATGGTTTTTCTGTTTGAGCAATACTTATTTCACAGACAAAAGATCAAAAGGCATGACAAGAGCTCTGCTTGTCAATGTCTTGGATCATAAAGTGAATGTCGGGTAATAAATTGAGCATCTAAAGTACATTTAACTGGAGCAGCTGAATGCCAATGTGCTTTGTAAAATATCTAGTATTCAACGAACGGTAATGTAATTAAGTGACGTATGATACATTAAACTGTATCCTGCAGGGTATCCAAAAATGTGTTTATTCCTGAAAATGTCCAATATACATGTACTGTAAAATGCAATATATATATATATCTGGGAGGACAACTGACTTTCATTCAGGATCCATGCTCACTGCTTAAACTAAAAATACTCTAGAAAAAGTTCCATGGACAACAATACCACATTCCTAACAAGCCTCTATCCTTTAATGAGAGGAAACATCTTAAAGTGGGCAACAGGCCAAAAGAGAAACATAAATAGATAATATTCTTATAAAACTTCCTATCCCCACATGTAAAAGAACACCAATCAAATTATTTAAATTCAGCATGTATCTTTTCTTCCTCAGTGCATAGCACCATTCTGACATCCCCACAGAGATATGCAACCAAACGATCCAAACAGTTGGATCTATGCTGCCATCCACTGGTACTTTTCAGCCACTCCACTCTTAGTATAAAGAATAATGAGTAATCAATGATATGAGTGGTGTGAAGATATTTAATTGATTTTTTTAAATTTAGTTCAGTACAGAAATCAAAAGTAAATGTATTTATTAGCAAAACAAAAGTACATCCAGTAAGGTTCTGTGGCAGTAATGAGGGGTTTTACACATTCAGCAGGTCTGCCTGTTTCTCTTTCAATTCACTTACTCCTCTCTCTCTGTTTCCACACTGTACACTTTGTTCTGTGGAACAGCACTTTCATAGTGCACTGCTGAATTCCTTCCAATGGTTATAAAAAGGGAGGGAATACATCAGGGAGATGTATGGGGTAATGGCAATGTAGGGACCTAAAATAGATTCAAGGGCTTTAGTCATCAAATAGTATACTGCACAGGTGTGGTTTTATGGTTTAGGCTTATTTTACTGCTTCCATTGCAACATTGCAGTATTTTAAATCATAAGCATTTTGTGGGAAAGTGCCAATACACCCATACGTCAAGTGTTAACAACTATGCACGGCAGCAAAGGTCCCCCATGACATGTTGACAGCCAAGATTTTGGTGTTAAATTGCAGTGTTTATTGCCACGTGAGAATTAAGTGATGGAAACAGCACATTGCATGGAATAAATATATCATACAGATTGCAAGGTTAACATGCAGTCCCCTCTGGTCTTTCATAAATTAAACAGCAGGAAAAGTGAAAGAAAGGCTGTTTTCAGATTGTCGCTGATGTACCATGCCCATTTCTCTTCCTTTAGCTGTAACAAGCCCAATTCTGTGAGGATCTTTTTCCAGGCATGAAGGAGAAAATCATTAGTTTAAATTGATCTAATTAATATGGAGGACAGACACCCCGGCCCATCTGATTAGTGTGGAAGTCAAGCCTTTCACGCCGCTCGCCTGACCTCCACACTCAATGATGTTGAAACCACAGAGGCACTTGGTTCCAGGCGCTTGAGCCTGAGTCGCTGACCCAATCAGAGGGCCACAGGGTAAGAAAAAAAGAAAACCTTATCTCTGTGCAACAGTGAGAAACTGATTAAGCCACAGAAGAGAAGAGATAAGAAGAGCAGAATTACTTTATATTAGCAAAGTAAGAAGGTGGAACATTGCATCGAAAGGCAGATGTCACACGAACCAAGCTCCGAACCTGGGGGGACAGAGCCTTCTCCATCGCTGCCCCCACCCTCTGGAACTCCCTTCCACAACACATCAGAGACTGCACCGACCCCCCCACTTTCAAAACACTGACCAAAACACACATCTTCAGACTGGCTTTTAACCCTTTCATGCATAGAGGTCACTACAGTGGACAGCTATTCAAAAGGTGTTTTCTTGTATATGCATTGTTTTTTTTTGCATAGTTGCACCATCAGCCACTACATAGGACCCTATTGCATCATCCCATACACTGCCACTCAGTGCCAAGTCAGTGTAAGTGCATGATACATGTCTCTAAACCAAGATGGACGACAGAAAGCCACATGGACCAAGTCACCCATCTATATCCTGCCAATCCTTTTATGGAAAGCGTCCCCTGCAGGTATAAAAAAGGTGGTGACATCAAGTAACAACTAAGGAATCATATAATTCATAAATTATCAAAGTATTGATGTTATGTTTGCAGGAAATCATGATTAACCACCTGTCCACTACAGTGGACGTCATGCATCACTGGCTATATTTCTACAATTCATACTGGTACTGCTGCTGTTGTTCCCAGGGCCGTCCCTCCCTACAGGCAGGTCATGCAGACTGTGTGGGGCCTCACCTTGTGGAGGGGGCCACACCTTGCGGAGGGGGGCCTCATCTGAGGCGCACCTATGCGCTTATGTGGCGCAATTAGGGTGGCGCGGCACGGTTTCGCCGCTGCGAGGCTCCACTAGCACTCATCAAATAACTGTGCGTGGAGCCTCAAATTGGCCCCTGGCCCTGGTTATTCTTGAAAATACTTCATCTGCAATATCTATTTGGGCCGTAAATCAATATACTTATGTTATTATAATGTAATTTTAAGTTTGCACATCTTTATTTATTATTTTTTCAAAATGTACATCTCTTCAGTTCAAACCCTGAACGCATACTGTCCACCTGAGTGGACATATAAAAATCTCTTTGAAAAAACTAGATTTAAAAAAAAAAAAGTTCAAATCTTGTTTTTCATGCACCAAGAGCAATAATAACACTTGGTAAATACATCCTGACTGAGGCTTTCATAATTCATGCATGAAAGGGTTAATTTGTGAATTATGTTGTGTTGCTGTTTTAATATTTTTAATAATTTTTTTTTTTATCATGTTTTATCAAACCACTGTAAAGCGTCTTTGAGCACCTGGAAAAGCGCTTTGAAATTAAATGTATTATTATTATTATTAGATGTCAGTGCAAAGCATACAGGGACACAAAAGCTCCAGCCAAGTTCAGACAGAGAGGCAGAGAAGAGCCAGTAGCTACTTTAATGCTACTGATGGTATCTTGTTTTTGGCATTGCTGGAGGAACTGTCTATGAGAAGTTCTTACCTGTGGCCATGCTGATTTGAGGTATTTGCAGGACTTGAATTCAGCATGTTCCCTGGACTGTTTCAATGACTGAGTCCTTCTGTATAATGGGATAAAAAAACAAAAAAAACAGAATGTTAATGACAGTAACATTTTGTCTTAAGAAACTTCAATCATAAGTTAGAGGTTGTGTTTTGGGACGTTTAAAAAAAGAAATACACGCACTCACTCAGTCTGTGTACTTGTCTTTGTAGGCCAGCAATCATTTGAATATAAGTATATATATAGTCTATGATTTAGACATGCCCCAATAGGAAAAGCGCAGGTGTAAATAACACAATGAATTCCATTTAGCTGTTTCAGTTTCAGGGCCCTAGTATTATAGTAAGTAAAAATGTCCCAGCGAGATATAATCAGAGCGAAGACATCCCTATTGTTATTATTATCACCTGTTATTATTATCAAAAACTCTGCTGTTTTTTTAAAATCTTAATAGCTTACTCAGATGATGTTGTGTACACTATTCAACAACCAATTGTAATGCTTCTCTTTGTCGAAAGAAAAAACAAAACAGAATAGAAATGAGAAAGCATGCAGTAACATAGTCATGTTAGCTAGAAGTTGCCCGTAGAACCCAAACGATTGATTAATCAATTACTAAACCAGGAAGATAATATTTATAATTGTTAATCTTTTATATATCAGAACATTATTACAGACTCTATCTGAATCCAGTTTGTCAAATTAGATGATTTTCTGCTTTTTTATTTGCTATAGATTTGCATGTTTTTTGGCTGTAAATCCAAAGTTTCTAAACCACCAGACTAACAAGCAGTTTAATTTAAAAAAAGTAAACTGGAGTTTTCACAATGTTTAGGTAGACTTAACAATCAATTGATTCATCTACAAAACACTTACACCATTAATCAACAATTCATTCAATGAACATTTGCATCCTTACAAGCCTAATTATAAAAATCATATATCACCAGTAAACATCAAGTTGTAAAGGTGAAGTGAAAACTAATGTTTCCACTTTAGCAACTCTCCAGTTAGGCTATGTGTTGTTTAGGCTTATTTGGGCTAGGCTACAGATAAAGCTCCCAGGTTAAATTAAAATGCCTATATCCGACGTAATATAATGTAAAATGTCGTCATGCATACACTTTTGGAGTTCAAAGAAAAAAGGTTTTGTTCAAAGCTAATTTAGAACATATCAAACATAAGTAACGTATTTTCTGTGTCGTAAAGACGCCACTGTTGATTGCGACAGAAGATCCGGTGTGACAGCATATCACGTTACGACAACACAGGCCTTCCGGTTGTATTTAGCGGAGCGGTTGTTTTTTTTAATAACGCTCACGTTATCATTTAAGTTGCTTGCTAGGCCAGTATCTGTTCAAATATACAATGGGGATTGAGGACGAAGCGGACCGGACGCTCTTCATTAGAAATTTAGATTCAAGAGTGACGGAGGAGCTTTTGTTCGAGCTGTTTATACAGGTACTGTTGTGGATACAACTAGACAAAGCTAACTAATGCTAACTAATGCTAACAAACGAAAGCATTTCAGGGATGAAATTATACAAAAGTGTGAAGTTATGAAGTAATACGCCTATATGTTGTTACGCTAATGTTTTGTATGCACACGCTGCGTGCAATCTATATTTTGTAATGTTTGTACAGGTGCCGTTGTCGCTAAAACTAGACATAGCTAACGAGCAAATGTCAATAATGCTAACAAACCGAAAGCGTGTCACATATGAAATGCCCCAACCATGTTAATTCATGAAGAAATACGCTCATTTTCGGTTATATGATGTTACCCTAATGTTTTTATGCACACGCTGCGTGCAATTTTAAGAGAGACTGACTTTGTTTGCTAACGGCAGCTAGCTTTAGCTACTTGTTGTTTATGTACGTCATTAACAGTATTTGCTTATGTTTGCAGGCGGGACCTCTGACCAAAACTAAGATTCCAAAAGATGCGGATGGGAAACAGAAAACATTTGGTTTTGCCGTCTACAAACATGAAGTGTCTGTGCCATATGCCATGCAGCTCCTGGACGGGACATCGGTGCACGGGAGAACCCTTCACGTGCAGTTCAGATCGGGTGAGTTATTTTGATCTCTTTTGACAACTTGTCAGTCAGTACTTAGAACATATTCCTTTTAACGGAGCTGCACTTCTAGACACGTGTTTAGTCATCTTAGCCACAGTTTGTCCCCCTCGTCTATTAAAGTACATTCGTGCCATCTTAGCTTAGCCAGGTTATCTTAAATATATTATAACGTTTAAAAAACAACAACCAGGAGGTCATTTAAAAATACTACCGGGTGCTTTCAGGATATTTTTTTAGAATAAACTGGTTTAATAATCTACTAACTCTTTATTTAAACGCGTTTTTGAGTTGCAAATGTTGCTAAAGAAAAGGGTTAAAAAACGTTTTGCTTGTGGTTTGTCAGGTTGTGGTACTGCTAAACTAACTTCAAGGAATATGTTGGATATCATTTGATAAAATGCAATCTCAAATATAACATGGCTGCATCTCAATCACACTGATTGTTGCACCTGTGTCAATACCGAACTCCTTATGTATAGAAAATGGCACCCATTGATAAACAAACTAAAACCTTATTTAAAGCATGAATATCTGCTGGATCCATGCCAATACACTCTTTGAGTTCCCTGTATCCTTTCAAGCCTATATTTTATTCGACATGTCTTATGCCATGTAGAAATAAGGTCTAAAAACCAACATAACATTCTCACATGTTGAATAAATAAGGTTTAATCTCGGCTATTTCAAGTCAGATAATATTGCTCATATTCTTTCTGTGTGTGGTAATAAGATGGTTTTGACTATTGTGTCATATCAGCAACACAAATGGGCACAAACAAATTCAATAGTTATCATTTAGTCATTTTCTCATACAATGATATGTGTCACTGTTGGTAATTAACAAAGCACATTAATTTATCCATCACTAATCAAGTGCTTTTATTTGTTCCCCCATCACAGGGAGCAGTCATAGCAACAGTCCAGGGAACTCACAGAATACAAGTCCGGCAAATACCCCAAATCCGCACGGGCAGAGGTAAGAATGTCTCATCGTACCGTGTGTGTGAAAACTGTGCTCTTAGTGCGGATTAGCTGATCTCCATGTTTGTCTCGACATGTACACTAATATTGGATTCCGTTGCTCCTTTTACGCTTAGACGCACCAAAGTTCTCTCAGAGCCGTGGCTCAATGACTGTACTCGTGCTCTCAGGTGCGCTTGCAGGCGTGCAGAGAGAAAATGGAAAAAGGATCAACTCCATGTCTCCCTAGAAATCCTTCGTGCTTGCCTCTCCGACTACCAGACCGCAGTCAAAGCAGCCAAAACAGAGCACCTTTCTCTGTTAATCTCCAAAAACAGCCATAAACCGCAGGTTGTGTTTAATATCCTTAACTCTATCATTAATCCCTGTGATGTTTCTTCAATTGTGCCATCGACTACGCAGGGCTGCTCGATTATGGCAAAAAATCATAATCTCGATTATTTGGGTCAATAATTGATATCACGTTTATTAAAAACGATTATCCATTTACTTTGAAAACATCCATTTATTGGATACATTTTTTTTAACAGTATGTTTTTAACAGTTGATTACCCTGAACTTTAAGTTTAATTCAACTGAAAATCCAATCAAATAAAAAAATGTATTTGAAAAAAGAAAAGTAATAATACACAAATATTTGTTTTATTTCGATGACGTTGTTTTCGTATTTGTTGCAAGCCATAATCGTAATTGCGATTTAAAATACGATTAATTGAGCAGCCCTACTCTGTGATAAGTTTCTTATCGAAAAAGTGTCTGCGCTTAGGCTAGCCCACACTAGTGCTACCCCAGATCCTGCTCCTTTTCTGTGCCCTGCTGTCCTCGACCACTTAGAGCCTGTATCCCTCTCGTCTCTCTCGGATGTAGTCAAGCACCTGCGGCCGACAAACAGCATTCCCCTCTCGCCTTCTCAGAGATGTTTTCGAATCAGTTGGAGCAAGTATTTTATTACTTATAAACATAACTGGTGCGCATGCGCACCCCCCGCCAAAAAAGGAGCACCGGATCATTTGAAAAAGCGCATTTGCACACCAACATAGAGAGAGAGAGAGATATTTGCGAGTTGCATAAGAACTGGTAAGATAGCAGGGTTTCCCACACATAGACTTTACTTGGGCGGGACTCCCAGGTATATTAACGGCCGCCAAAGTATAATTCGAGAGCCATTTAGGTTTAATTTTTTTAATCCGTCCGCGAGCATGACTGCATCTGCGATCCCTCGCTCTACCCCTTGCTATCGCGTGAAGGGTCTGCTTTATGCGTACAGTAACCCTGCTGCGAGGCACGGGCGATTTGATTTTAAACTCCTTTTATTAGTTTTTAAAGCACTAAATGGGCTGGCTCCAGCCTATATAGCAGAACTCCTCCATCGCTACACCCCAGCCAGAGCATTAAGGTGAGCTGACCTGCTGCTGCTGGTAGTGCCCAAGACCAGGCTAAAAAACCTTTAGTATTTTCGATCTTTCCAATCCAGGCGAGAGATCTCTCTCCCCCGCCTGCTTGCAAGGGGGCGGGGCAGTTTACACACACGCAGCTGCTCAGCTGCTACATGCAGCAACACACACACACATGGCGGAGAGAACGCGCTCCGAGGTGTGGTTAAACTTTACCCGTCTCGACGAGGACAATGCTCGTTACCAAAAGTGCAATAAGAGTTTAGCATGTAAGCACGAGCAATTTCACTAAACATTTAGCAAAAGCGCTCCACATTCAGACGGAGGAATGCACCGTTTAGTAGCAGCTCTGTAGCCCCATCCACGAGTAACGTTTCCACGTCAGGTGTTCTGTATGCTAGCAGCAACACACAGAGTTAACTACATTATACAAACATGGGTTAATGATTAGAGGAAACTGAGTTATTTATTTAGTTAAAGTTTCAGCTATTCTATTTACAGTGATCAGATTATTAAATACGATAGGTTAAAACATTGTTGTTTCTTTTGATGTGAAATATTATGTATTTAATTTAAATAAAAAGCAATGTTAGTTTTGTTCACAATTTGTTTAGTTAGTTTACCTTATTTGTTCCCCTAGTGATTGCCCTGGTGTTACATTAGGCACTATTAGACCGGTGTAATGTTTAAAGATTAGTTTTAGTTTACAAGTTTTGCATTCAAGGGTTCTTAAATAATTTGAGTTGAGTAAAATATATTCCTGGTTCAATTCATGTACATTTGTGTAAATATAACTTTAATGGAAAAGATTGTATTGATGTCTAACAGTTCGGTATATAAGCTAAATATAAATCAATTATAATGTAGGCGTAGAATAACAGAACTGTCTGCAAAAACATGTCAAGATAAAGATGTATCGACTGCATTCACGTGGCAATATACCTAACCAACATGGATTTAAACAATAAGTGGCATTAATGCTTACAAGGAGTCGTGAGTGAGGGCAAGCAGAGACGTCTAGACGGGGCATATTGAGGTGAAGGTGGTGAGCAACACCAGCTACAGGTGGATGCAGCTCTTTGGAATCAGATGAGTTAGACTTGGCTTCCTCACCGTGCTGATGGATCTTGGCACATCTCTAACCACTGAAAAATAATTATTCATTACAACAGCAGGCTACATCCAACAAAACGTTATATGACCTAATTTGCAACGTTGGTAATATCTGACTTCCTTGGCTCGATGTATATGGATAAATCATTTGTTAACTTTTGTTGTTTGACGCGGTACTCTTTGCTTGAAGTCTTGAGTTTACATTATCAAAAAAATGCTAAAATAGTTTTCTGCTCGAGTTCACAGGCATTATGTTCTTAACAATGGATCTTTATAATTATTGTGTGGTCAGATTAACTGAAGAAATATTAAAGCACTACAGTATGGGCTACTGTATTCATAGTAGTCATTAATGCTCATGCTGCCTTCACTGTGAACGGTTGCTCTTCATTCTCCAGATTCATTTTCAGCCCTCTTTTGTACATCCAACTGAATTTACATGTGAACTTGACTAAAACTGATTATTTGTAAAGCAATCATAGCACACTTTAAAATGTGTTACTTTCCATGAATGCCAAAGAAGTGAAATAAGTCCAAAGCATGAATTATACATTGAGTCAAATAATCAAAAAGTGATGCAGATGCTTCCCAAATGGGTAGTCATTATGTGTCGCGTGCACCTGCCACTCTGAATACGTTAAAATATTTACCAGTGTTTTGCTTCCCTCCTGCAGGACCCCGGTCCACTTCAGCTCTCCACCATACACTCCTCCACCCCAAATGAACAGGTCCCTTTCATCTCCCGACAGTCTGCAGAAGCATGTCATGGTAACCGTTTTATTCTTTTATTTTCACACCACACCTCACAGGAGCTTCTTATGTGGGTGACATGCAGAGGCCTGCTCGTTGCAAAAAATGAAGACATGTTTACGTTGTATGATCTGACAGGACTAGAAACAACCTTTTTAGGCCTCAATGAACCGTATGAAACACGTCATGTTATCACAGATATGTTTTCGCCTGCTCACACAGTCATGCACATACTTGCTGAACACAAACGGTGTTTCATATTATGTGATTTGTTGCTGTCTGTCATTGTTCTATCAACGTTTTTTTTAGTGTAAGGGCTTCTTTCTTTCAGTTCTGCAATTACAAATCATTAAGTAATGACGAAAAAAATATATTTTTTACAATATTATGAAAGGGGCGGATTATTTCTTTCAATACATTAATTTCATTACATTTTTGGAAGAAGTGAAAATGATGGTACATGCTAAATATTGGGCATTTAAACCCTAATCTAGAACATATACAATTACAGGAAAATAAAAACAAGGCTCATGTTATCGATACACTTTCTATTCCTTCGTAGATGAACAACATGATGTGGCAGATCCAGATGCAGCAGATTGAGCAGTTAAATGGCGGTTTCTCCAAGCCTGTGCAGAGGCAGCCGTCGGCGGGGGGGAATGCGGGAGGAGGCGGGGGCTCCCGTCACCATGACAACGCCCCCTACCGCCACCCGGCCCAGATGCAGGGCGGCGGCAGAAACCAGCGCTACGGAGAGGAACCAACTACCGGTCGTCACCAGCAACAAGGCCGGGACAACTATCCGCAACAAGACAGGAGCGGTAATCGTCACGGTGACAGCAGAGGTGGCAAAAGACACCATGAAGATAAGAGCGGAAACCGTGGCAACCAAGATAATAGATGGCGACGGTACTGAGACATGCAAAGGACTTCTGTAGAGACTTGACACATTTATGGACAACTTCCACACAAAAAAGAGATCATGGCTTTTGTTGACATTCACATGTATACTCAGGTTGTTTGTTCATGATTCCACCACTCTGAAGATTTGGTAACTTATGCCTTAGAGACATTTTTGTTTACTTTTTAAGGTGTTTTTAAACTTCTACTTTCATGTGAGTTTGTCCTCACAGAAAATATTTTGAGCTGTATTGATGGAGAGCAAGGAAATGTTATTGGACACGACTCGTCATTTTAGATGATCGAGATAAAAAAAAAAACACATGTATAGAAAAAGATTTGCAATATTGGACAGTTTATGTTATGCAAAAACCATTCAGATGGTGCTGCAATTCTTCAGGTATTTTGTAAAATACGACAGCTAAAGATTCCACCAGCACCAGTTTTACAATAATAGGGCACCATCCTTTTTTAATGTTGGATCTGTTGACCATGCTCTTTATAAAAAACAAAAGAGCTTTATTTAATTTTTTTATTCTGAGTCTGTAAGACGAACTGTTTTAAAAATGTCCATTACTATAAAGCTCCTTTCATTTGATTGTTGCAGTGTCTTTCATCTGGCCACAACACACACGCCTGGGTCTTGGCTGTAAATCATGAATGCTATTTGCAGCCCTTTGTGTATTTGACTAAGTGAGCTATTGTATGTTGATGCTACATGCTGTAATGCATGCACACACAGCCTCATCTGCACCTAAAAATGGCCCACGTGTAACTAATATGCTTGTGCTGTGAGTTTAAAAAGTAATCTACAGGTGGCGCCACACACATCCTTTTATTGAATCAATTAAGATGTTAAATATAACTGAGCCACATGATCAGCTCCTACATCTGACCTTTCTATTTAGGATGCTTTCAAGTCTTTACATGGATTTGAAACTCAGCCTGGTCACTTTACAGCATGCAATTATGTTAAGGTTTATTTATTGTTCAAAGTTGAACACTTGATATCGTGTTCTCTTTTAACGGAAGAGGCTTAACACCACTTAGGTTTTTTTCTCAATTTACTGATGTGAAAGAAATGTGCCATCCCAGAATTAGCAGCACTTTGATCCTTCACTTCTCATGTTGCGATGAGCTTTTCACAACATATACCGCAGTGTCGCTGTTCGGATTTGCCTGTAACAATGTGATGATCAAATCCGTTAATGTCGGTGTTGAGGTTATAATCTACCCTTCCGAAAGTGCTTATGCCACTGCTAGTGCGCGCTATAGACAATATACCCGCCAATAAATATCCCAGTGTCCAAAAGTGGGTTTGCATTTGCACCTTCGGCACTGGTCTTGCTTGTAATCTTTCTCGTGTCAGATTGCATCCTGATGCTCCCAAACGGCTCTAATAGAGAGTATCCTCTGCTCGGTGTCAGTAGCCCTTATTACGCTCCTGGCTGCGGCACAGCTCTTTTAATTGGTTGATCTGCCTGGCGTCTCCAGCCCTGCAGCGGGCGGATTAGAGAGGCCGCTCAGTAGCCGCTGCTGTGTGGATTTATATAGAAGCGTGTCTGCTCAAATGATCCACTTCCAAACATCCAGAGACCCTCCCCTCCCTCTGCAGCAGCCCCGCGCCGCGAAGTGACAGCAGCCGCGAGCCCCGGATCTTGGCACAGACTCAGGTTGTTGGGTTCATCGGTGCCACAGTAGCCCGAGGAAAAGCCTGGGCCTAATTTAGCTGCTCATAGTCTTTGTGTTTTCATGCAGTCTTGATCTCTTTAAAAAGTGTGAAAAAATCGGATACTGTTAGGTTAAGGTTTTCTGAAAGCAATACATGCACTAAAATGAAGACAAAATATACTTCGTATTTAGTCAAAACAAACAGAATATGAACGGTGTATTCAAAAGAAGAGAGGATTATTTGAGAAAAACAAATGTGTGAAAGTTGTGAGAAAATCTTAGTGTCAGGTTTTCTGGAAGCATTAAATGCAGTAAAACCAAACGTTGTATTTAGTAAAAACAAGAAGAATATGAACGTTGTTCTCAAAATGAAGAATAAGGAAAAACAAAAGTTTTCGAAATTCTAGTTAAAAGCGATTTAATGTGTAGGCTACTCTTTAGCTCCGTTGTTTTTTTTGGAGTGGCTTTCCTCCACCCTAAAATATATAATGTTCTCCACAGCAGTTGTTCTCATCCCCCCTCTTTTATGAAGCCATCAAACCCCCTGAAGAGGCCGAGCTCTCCCAAACAGAGCTCCATATTTCCTGCTCAATAATCCTCTTTGAGCACCGCGGCTTCCGAGGCACCAGAGGGTTCCATGTATTCCCAATTCTTTAGATGATAATCGGTTCACCTCCTTTCGGACTCCGACATTATTTGAAAACCCTTCCTGCACTTGGGTTTCCTCGCAGGGTTTAATCGTTTTATATTTATGTTAGATACAAAGAAACTCATGATATGACGACCTCATATATTCAAGTATATCTGCAGCAATTTGCAATATCTAAACGACTTGTTAACGATATGTGTGCCACAATTAAAGGGAGATTTACATGCATATAACAATGTTATTGGCACAAATGTTCTTTCAACATTTAATTTAAAGTGCCGGTAGCCTATGTGTAGTATTTATTACATTAATGTCAGGATCATCAGCCTGTTTGATCTGACTGACACATACATAAAAATAGATATTCTCTTCAAATAAAAAATATTTGCGGAAAAATCATGAATTTAAAAACGAGTCACAGATGTGTTTTGTTAATGTATTGTTAGGACAGTTAGTTGTATACTCGGCATGCTTTATACCGTGCGCACAATTGTTGATTAATAAATACAATATTGCGTCATTATTCTTGGCAACTCATTAGAGAAAATGGCACAGCTGACCTGGCCTTTAACCGAAGTTTTACTAACTATTGTCTCCTTTAGAAGCAGCCTCTAATGTTTTTCTTGTAAGAAGTACCTATACTCAACAATATATTTCAAATGTTGCGTCAAATGTTATTATAATAATTATTTGTATATGTACTATTAACAATCATGATGTCATTTAGATAATTACATTAAAAAAATGCACGGTTGAATCTAAAATTGTTAGTCATGCATGTAAACCGACTGGCTCGAAAACACAACCCATTTATTTGTTCAGGGTTTAAGAATAAAGAAGAACATAAAGAAAGAAAAGATAATTGAACTATTGTCTGTCTGTGGTACGGCACTTCAAGTGTTTCTTTCTCTGTAAATCCAAAGTCAAAATAACGAATATATATTGTATTGTAGCCTACTAATACAATTTAGAGTAGGCCTAATCTGAGTTAGTCAAGTTAATAAGAAAATAAATGGGACACGTTGTAATTTATATCTAAACTAATAATACAGCCAATAATACAGACACCGAGCCTGATCCATACAAAGCGTTTTTAAATAAAAGCTGTCCGATTTTAGTTAACCTTAATCGGAAACGGTGATTATAGGTGTAACATAGACTTGAAGAGATTTGTAAATTGTTGAAACTATGACCTAAATCTGACGAAAAACATAGCTTTTTGGAGTCGAATTAAGAAATTGCAGGCTTCAATTTATATGTAAAATAAATCAGAGAGAAAGAGAAGACCAGTGTTTTTGTGGTAGGAGGAGTGTTTGCGAGGTGGCCATGTGTATGCAGCTACAGTTCATGAATGTATTTGTAAGAGCGCGAGAGAGAGAGCGCGAGAGAGAGCGCGAGAGAGAGAGGTTAGTTAGAGCGGTAGAGATGAATACAGGGATGGTTTATATAGCAGTGGGTGTGAGCGCAGATCGCAGTCAGTTGATAACAGTGTGTGTGAGCTCAAGTTGAAGACTATCTTCCCCAGGACACTTCAGAGAGAGCTACACTGCATTTAGGAAGACAAACAATGAGTTATTTAAGCGCATGAGCTACAATAATCGCATTTGCCACACGGTTAAACCTGCAGAGCTTTAGATATTACTGAAGAGAAGCTATAGTGCAGCGAACAGCGACACATCATGCACTGTCAAGCGGAGCTGAGGCTCTCCTCCCCCGGCCATCTGAAGGCGGCCAGGCGGCGCTACAAGACCTTCATGATCGACGAGATCCTCTCCAAGGAGACTTGTGATTATTTCGAGAAGCTTTCTCTCTACTCCGTGTGCCCTTCGCTCATTGTACGGCCGAAGCCTCTCCATTCATGTTCAGGTAAGAGGACTCTTGTTTGAGACTAATTTAGAATTTAAGAAATAAGAACAAAATAGCTAATATGGAATTTGAAGAAAACAAGTGTTGGTTTAGACATTCTGACTCTTTTACGCATGAGATCAGATTAATTATTACTATGTTATTGAAATTTGAAAAAAGATGATACAATTGGTGCATGAATGAGAACATTTGAATATAAGGTGCATAACGTTTACATTCCATGGGGGACAGGTGACATGTAGATTGTTTTGAAGTGTATTGCTGGTGGAATGACAATATGTGTTTCGTATTATCAAGTTTCAATTAGTTAAAAAAAACCATGTACTGTGCATGCAACTTTACATATTGAAATAAGGAATATAATATTGTTGTGACAAGTTCAAAGCATCTATAATTTATCATCACTGAAGTTTATTAATTTGCCTCAGATGTTCTCTTTTAAAGAGTTAGTCTAAAATTAATTTATGCATGCTTCCTCCCAAAAGTTTCAGCACCTTCTCATTGTGTACTTCACATTATAAATCACTGTGCTGAAAGTGTGGAAAATCAAAGACATGTAGAGAGAGTGGATGTCAGCGATGCTTCAGGGCTTTTGTTGAACTGATGAATGACTGAACTGATAAGGCGTTGTTGTTACACAAAAAGGTCATTTAAGTGGCACTGCGATGAAAAACAAACTAGAAGCCCGGGGTAGTTGTCTTTAAACTGCAGTTTATTTCTTTTCATTTCAATGGATTATTTCTCCTAAACTAGTGGCCTTAAATAATGCGTTTTGCTGCTCTTGGACATTGACAAATTAGATCTTGTAATGTTGCTTTGATATAAATGTGACCTTCAGCAAAGTAAAGTTGAGAACAAAAAAGGTGTCCATATGGTTACCCAATAAACCCAATAAAATATTATACCCTTATTTATCTCGATTTAAAAAGAAATATGGAATTAAAAAGTAAATTAGAAGATTCACTTGAACCACTATCACTCTCCTCCAATTTCTTCCAGCTTGTGAAGTGCTTTCTCTCATTTCCCTCTCATTTAGATGGTCATTATCTAGATCTCTGATTGACAGATAGACTGACATTTTCAGCCCTTTAGCTTTGTCTTGTACTGGTTGAAAGTAACCAAAATAGTAGGACAAAGCTGGGGTCACACAGCACATGTCAAAACAAAACGTCTGGTGCGATACTTAATTGTACCTCCAGATGAATCCAAACAACTGAACTGCTACTGCACACTCCAGTAACCATTAGGATAATTGCTCCAAAGTCTGAAATAATAGCCACTGCAATTTGATGATGACAGCGGTGGGTGGATAAAAATAGGGGAAGCAATTCCCTCATCCAACAGATATGGATGGGTGTATGGGAGAGGGCACTATGACTGGGCTTTGGCACCCCTCTGTTGCGATGGATAGAGTAACCCGCCCTGCATATTAGAACACTGTGCCCACCACTTATTTGTAGCTGCTGGGGTGTGAGACACAGTATATTCCCTAACATCAATGGCTTTTAGTGCTGGATATAGAAGCTGACTGGCTTGCAGTTCCTGGGCCACAAAGAGGCTCCTGCGTGGATCCTGAACGGGGAAAGTTGGGATGTTATAACCCTCTGCTGCCAGTGGAGGCCGCTGAAAGACAGTGAAGCCTATTAAGCTACCTGAAGAAGGAATGAATTGTTGTTTTTGTTTTCTTTACCTCTGGTATGACATTCAAACATACCGACATAATTGTCTTCCTGTGGTTTCTCTTGTGACACTTACATTTGTATCGCAACGTATTTTGAATATAATTCTTAACCGTGAAAGGGGCAGATGCTTGTAAAGCTACTTCCACGTCACTTACAGCAGGATCAGAGACAATGAACCCTGACCTGGTGCTGAACGGTGAACAACGTAATGGCAGGTTACAGAATAAAACATCTTAAAGATGATTCATTTGAATGATAATCACCACCTACCATTTCTTCCATCTTGTGAGTGCTTTCTCTAATTTCCCTCTCTTTAAGATGGTCATTATCTAGATCTCCAATGATAGATTGACAGATGGACTGACTGAGTATTTCTCCTGTGATACTTAACTTTGTATCATAGCCTACTTGTACTTTAATTCTTAATAGTTAAAGTAGCAGATGCTGGTGGAGTTACGTCCCCGTCAGTTACAGCAGGATCAGAGACAATGAGCCCTGACCTGGTGCTGAACGGTGAACGACGTATTTGGCAGTTTACAATATTTCATTTGGAGGCCCATCTTTCAGCAGGACCCAGGGCAGGGCTTTTAGTGGTGCTTTCTGGAAGAGGTGAGAGAGATTAAGATCAACTGTGGCGTAATCTCACTTGACAGCATGATGAAAAAAAAACAAAAAAGGAGAAAAGTGAAAAAGTGTGCGCAGGCGGCTACAGGAGTACAGGCTGAAGGTTTAGGAGAAATCCAAGAGAGCAAAAGGATTTCATCCCTTCTTAAACCCTAATCCTCTGCGCACAATAAAGTCTCCCATTAAGCATAAAGCCAGTTGAGAAGGTTGATTACACCCATGTCAACACACACGGTTAAGTAGGTTCACACACAAAGGCAAAATGCGTGCACGTCTTCCATTTTTGGCACAAAAAAAAGAAGAAGATTGACAACCCGCCCAACCACTGCCATTAGATTTTTTTTTATCTCAACAAGAATCAGATCTGGATCTGGATCTGGATTAATACTGAGCAGAACCCAGAGGTATCAGGCTCAGTGGGGGATGGATGATCCCCGCTAAATGTCTCTTAAAATTTGCCGGAAGCACTCCACGATGACAGCTTCTTCTGGTAGCAAATTCCACTCTCTGATTGTTCTCGGAAAGAAGGAGTATTGAAGAGTGTCACTAGTTGCGAAAATTCGCTCGAAGTTCAAAGAGTTGGCTTTGCGGGTTGCACTGGATCCTGATCCAAAATAATCTGGATCAGGTTTCAGATTAAACAATTAATGTGAATGTTTAATGTATTGCACGGTGTGGAGTTTCAGCAGGAGTGTTCCTCGTAAAATAACCTGACAATTAAACTCAACAGGATGTTGCTTTCCCTTTCCTTCTACCATTCGTTAAGAATTGACATTACTTCACTTAAATCTGTCGTGTCCTTGAGGTGAATAGTTCCGATCAAAGCAATGAAATTAGTGAGATAAATAAGATGTGTGGTCTGTTTCTCTACCCATCTAGGAAGAGTTGAATTTGCGATCAAAATAAATAAAATTGAGAAGCTTCTTATCTTCCTATCTGTCACCACTCAGTTTACACCCAAAACAGGGCAAACGTTCGCTACACTCATCATAGCTTAGCAATAAATCATCCTTTTCAGCGTCCCATTGACAAAAGAAGTGTAGATGTTTTTATAAGGAGCATGCTGATGCAGGAAATATGGTTCGTTAATGAAGACAAATGTCACAGTAACTACTTGATGAATGGCACCAATTATTGTTACAAAAACCAACGCCTCTTTTTGATCTATTCTTAGCCGGTATGTCTTCTCTAACGGTCACCATAAGCACTTGTGCCGGTCCTTACATTCCATCTGTGATTATCAAGAGTATCAGTGGGCTTCTGCATGGGGCCGAGTTGCTCTCTTGCAGCTACTCAAACCGTTTATTTGTAGACTATTGACAGGACACTGGCGCTTGTCAACGACGTGTCAGAAAGACATCTTCCCCGTCAGTGGAAAGTCACCACGAAGACTGACATTTCCCTCTTCGCTCTCTAACTCTTCTTTCTTTCTCTTTCCCTCTGAGGGACTGTCCGGAGACAACCTCAAGCTCTCTGTTGACATGAGATTTCCTGACACTCATGAAGACAAACCGAGATGATTCTCCCATTCAGAATGACACTTCCCCTTCTCATCTTCATGTGACAGTCCCCCTGTAAAGCAACTCAACGATATGTAACATTTACACACCTGATTTAAGGAGAGAGCAATATAACATGGAAAGGAATAAATGGAGAGTAGCCTATACAGCGGGAGAAAAGTGGTCTTCTTGTCTAGACTTGTTGCAATAGCAGCAGTCTCACGCTGGAGGATTAGTAATGACCTCAGCACCTTAACATGATGTCACGATGAGCCCAAGGCAGTGTCTGGTGTGTGTGTCGTGTGTGTGTGTGTGTGTGTGTGTGTGTGTGTGTGTGTGTGTGTGTACACACGTGAGTGTAGAGCAACTGTGTCTATACCTGCAGATGCACTTGAATGCGGTGCTTATGCTCCTCATGATTGACTTATTTCTAATTGTCGGGGGCATAATATAAATCATTGCACAGTGTATCTGTGTTAAATACTGCATTAGGGTTCAACTGTAAGATTTTAAAAATAGACATGCTCCAACTTCTGGTAGCTTATTGTTCTTCTACGTGTCCATCTTCTTCTTCATTTTCTTCTACTCATTGTCCTTGTCATTACTACTTTCACCGGCCTTAATGATAAAAAGACAGAAAACAATTGAGTAACACAATTAATTAATATCTGACTTTATGTCTCCTTTGTATTGATGTGTGTATGCGTGTGTTTAGGTTGTGTTTTGGTATTGATAAAGAGATGAAGGAGGCAGGTGCACCACAGACCACCAACAAAACACAACTTGTATTTTCTCTGCTCCATTGACGCCTTTTATCTCCCTCAAATCTTTTATTTCTACTCCCATAATCCCCCGTGCTCCTTATCAGCACATGCATTACAGTTTGTACTCAGTGAGCCTTTACATTTGGTTATGGGTGATTTTATATTTGAAGCTGTGGGGATTTTTCTGACAGATCTCCTATTCACTTTGGTTGACCCACCCTCCCACCTAGGCTCCAGACAAATGTAACTTTTTATTGATTCTGGCGTCTTGCTGCCTCTGTCCGCCATGATAAAATGTGTTTGTATCGGCTGCATACAGTACATGTGCAAGAGTGATCGAGAAACGTTTATTAGCTGAACTGTTTGATTTAGTTTTGAGGGATTTTATTACAGCTCGTTCTGTGTCTGCAGGGTTCTCTCTGTGTACATCATGCTGTCAGGCTCAGTGTGTGCATGCTGGGAAACCAGTTATCATTTAACAACCTCTGAAAAAGAATCATTCATTTGGAAGGTTCAGGGGAGCGGTGTAAAACACAGTCTGCGTCATTGAGATCACGGCCCTCTACATGGAGGAGGTCAAAAGCAAAACACTTTTCACTGCTAACATAGGGCAATTAGAAATGAAGCTGTCTAAGCAATTACAGCCGGTCGATAACGGTACACTAAAAACCAACAGTGATGCAAACGGATCTCTAGTCATGTCCTATATTTACTCAGTATTTATCTGCTTCTGTCTGCTCCTCAGGGTCCACCTCACTACGTGCCTACCCTCTCCTCTCGGTGATCACGCGGCAGCCCCACAACCTGCCCCTCCACCTCGCTCAGCCGTCCTCCCCGGGCGGGGTCCCCTCACACCTGCTCTCCTCGCAGCACCCTCGAGGGTCCGAGCTCTCCCCCAGCCAGACGCCCCTCAGCATCAGCAGCGAGTCGGACACGGAGCACAGCTCGCCGCGCCTGAAGAAGCCGCGCCGCAGCCGCACCATCTTCACCGAGCTGCAGCTGATGGGGCTGGAGAAGAAGTTCCAGAAGCAGAAGTACCTGTCCACACCTGACAGGTCAGTGCAGAAACAACACATGTGATTGGATAGGTGGATAAGGAAGTATAAATGCCGGGAAATACACAAAAACCTCAAAACAGGAGTGGCATGTTTTTCAAGTACTGTACTATGTTCAAATTTGAGGTACTTCTCTTGAGTATTTTATGCTATTTTAAACTATTGCCCAATTCCCTTTTGTAGGCGAATGTACTTTTGTTCTCCTCTACTTTATTATATAGCATCAGTTAGATTTAAATCAACTAAAAGTGATATAAGTTTAGGTTAAGCTACCCAGAAGTTTAAATACTGGTGGGTAGCTTAACCTAAAAGTATATATCAATATTATAGTAAAAAAAAACAGCTTTATTAACATTTAGCAACAATAATGTGATGAAAACGTTAATGCATTAATAATTATAATCCAATATTTTCTTTCATATAATTCTCAAATGTGCCATACTCATAGGCGGAGTTTGACATTTGCGCTTGGGGGGGCAAACCTTTTTTACTGACGTCAGTACACAGTCCCAACTATCGCGTGGGGTGCTACGGATACAGTAGCAATAAAGCCAACGCTCACCCCACTGAGTATGACTTTTCCATGCCCGCCGTACACACTCACTCATATGGAAGGGGCGGTCTCTCCCCCCAACAACATGCATTACATAACTGTAAAACTTATCATAACTGTGCACATCTTATACTTATTTGATAACTACTATATCCCTTGGTTACTTGAACACTCTACAATATTATTAACCATGTCCTACCTTATTAAAATATTGATATACGAAATATTTGTATTGGAACAGTTTTCGACGTAGTAATGCTGTAATATATTTCAGCCACTAGGGGGGGCAATGCCCCCCTGCCCCCCCGCAAAATCCGCCTATGGCCATACTGCAAAAAGAGTACTTTAAGCATTTTTGGTTCTGAAACTTTCCTAATATTTTGGATACAGGACTTTACTTGTGACCAAGTATTTTTACATAGTATTTTGGCTACTTTTACTAAGATCTGACACACTCTTCCAACTCAGCCCCCACACACTCGCACACACACTGAAAGCAGAAACATCACATGCTAATGCTAACCTCATTGACAACTATTACGGGTTCTGTGAATACATAGAACAGCTGTACAAGAGAGCTATCAAGGTGTTTGACAGAAAGCCAAATTCATACCACCACTGTACCATCCTTGAAAAACACAATTTCTTGAGTTTTGACAATTTACATTTTTTTAAAAGTATGTGTTTTTTTTATAAATGTTTAGGGGAATTCATCCACAGAAAAGACACTGGACGCTGCACTAGGTCAGAAACCAGAGGAGACTGTGAAGTCCACCGTAGACGGACCACGGACAAAATGTCCTCTCCATTAAAGGCAGCTCATTGTGGAATAGCCTCCCAACTGAGATACGGGATTGTCCCACTCTCAATAGTTTTAAAGGACAACTTAAAGAATGGTTGAGCAACAAACAGATGTGCAATCACCGCTCAATGCACTTTAACACAGGGGTATCTCCTCTTGCACTTTAGGTAGCTCTTTTATCTTATCTTGCACTTTATATGTCGTAGCTGCTACATTGTACTGCCATGTGGTAAATGCTTATACTGTATGCTGCTCATGCTCTTCCTGCATATCATATATTTATTTTTGCTATGTATATAAATGTCATGTTCTTATATGTTTTATGTGACGGGACTACGGATGGAAATTAGCTCAAAGCTAAAATCCGGCTCATTTACGCTTGTAAGCGTTATTTTGTTTGAAAGTGTTCATCAATTGTCCCGGTTCAAATAAACGATTAAATGAAATGAAATGAAATTAGTTACATGACATTTAACAAAGCCATGTGTGAAAGGTAACTACCACAGTTTTTTAATTTCAACCAGATGTCAAAAACGCTTACAGTTTGTAGGCGTCACTCAACTGTGACATTTTGATAACCTGCATACCTGGCATAGAGCACATAATGAAAGCACAGCAAACGCACATTCATAAAGCCGCAACTGCAATTATCAAGCAGTGGTTAACCCAACATCATCATTTTTGATTTATCCTGTGGGGAACGCTAATGTAATGTGAATGTTGTCAAAGCCAGAGCATTACATCATCATTCTAGTTGAGACAAGAGGAACGTTTTAACCCTGAGCTCTCCAAAAGCAAAAAAAGTCCCAACAAAGAAACACTGCCTTATTCAAGAGAGCAGGGACGGAGGCCAACACAAGCACACACACATGTACTACATTGATTTACTGCCAATCATTTCACACATGTGCAGGTGTATAAAAATAACATTTCTACCATAATATGAAGTAATCTACATGTTAATATCCAGGTCTTAAGTTCCATTTTTTGGTTCAACTTGTGGACCTGACATGAGGTTAGACTTTATTTTATTGAAGGCTCACTTTTATATTTTGCCTACAGGCTTTTTTTCCAATATAACTCAGAATAATATTGAGCCATATATGTTATAAAAAGTTCATTCACATGCGCAGTAGGAATTGTAAACTGCCTGTGAGCCTTTGCATCGAGCAGAAATTGGAAGTCTGCACACTCCCCCCATTACTCATCCATTTTTTTTATTGAGAGTAAATCAGCTGGGATTAAAAACAGAAACAACTTCATGTAAAGTATCTGCATGCATTTAGAAAGGCAAATAGCTACACAAACATCTGTATCCTGTTGGCAATGTATCTGCCAACCCCATCTCATCTGATACATTTGCATATTTGAAATAAACCAGATTTATTAGTCATGGTGTTTACATCCACATACAGAAAAACTCCCACGATGTATTATTAAATATATCACACCTTGGCTTGCCTGAAGACGTTGGAAAGACGCCATGCCTCATCTTAAAGCAGAAGCCGCGAGGCTGAGCACTACTCAGTGATCAAACCCAAGCAACCTTACGAATCGCTGTGCCAAAATAATATGTCCTGTCAAAATATATATTATATATATTAGATTCTGACACTGTGTCGAGAATTAATTAAATACCCGGTTGCAGGAAAAACATCAATATAGAAAATCCCTCTTTAAAGCCCCACATCAAATGTGTGGCATGCTCCCCACTTGAGTTATGATCAAAAGATAACTTTTATTTTCTCAACCTCAATCTCTTGACTCGTAACCTGTGCGGTTTTAAAACTGAGATGACATGCGGGGGCAAGAGGAACCAAAACTAAAAATATCCCTGAAAAAACGTATTCATATCATAGATGAATAACGATTTTAAGCAGCGTTCAATTATAATAATTAGTACCTTAATGATCCCAACTGTCATCATCATCATTGTGGAAAAACTTTTCGGATACACCAAAGATTCCCTTTTTGAAATGTGTAACAAAATTACCTGCAGGGACTTCGATAATGTTTCTGTTGCTTTGAGTGTGTGGTTTCTCTCCATTGAAAACTAATGACCATAAATAAGAGGGGTGTTTTCTTTTCTGCAATTACTTTTCCTTGCCTCCAGTTGTTGAACGGCTACAGACATGATAGTGAAGTGTGATAGACAGCTTGATTGCCTTTATGTCTGGTGTTTTTTTAAGCGCAGACCCATACATGCACATGAAAACCATACACAGCCCTTTATGTTAGGTATAAGGGTTTGTAGATGATCCCTTGAATTTAAGGGGTTTGTATCTGCTCTGCTTTTTAGATTCTGTTCAAGCCTTTTTCTCCGTCTCGGCTTCCACTTTCACCATTAAATGAAAGCCAGCTACTTTCACTGGGGGTTTGTGGTGGGGGTGTGAACCCCTTCATCTGACTACGAAGAGCAGCGAATAGGAAATCTCATTTTTAAGAAACCCAGATAAACCTTCATTTCCTTTACAAATTGATGCCGTGTCCACTTTATCTGTCCCTTCCTGAAGTATCACATCACACACATCCAATAGCCCTATTAGTCATGGATCAACACATGTGGTGGATGCATTCAGAGTTTCCTCCAGACTGCCCCAATCGTCTGACTACATGCGCTGTGATTGGATTACTGACTTCTGTACAGATGTTTGAAACAGTGCTTCCTGTGCTGCAGGTGTCAAACTGCAGCTACTAGCAGATCAGCTTTGATGTGAGATTCAAAGACTGAGTATAAGAATAGGACTTATACTGTAGCCTGAAATCCTGGCAACCTCTAGGCATGAAACTGCGTTATACAGTATACTGACTAGAAGGTAAAAAACACAATTAGTGTCAAGATTCTTATATTTTCTTTATTCGCCTATCATTGGGAGAAAAGGGCAGACACCTGTCTTTTTGCTGATTTTTAAAGCATGTGTCAGGGTTTATATAGCCTGTTCAAGTTAAAGAGAAACGTCCATCTAATGTGCATTTCTTTTTCATTTGTGATTCGCAGGTTAGACCTGGCCCAGTCACTTGGCCTCACACAGCTCCAGGTGAAGACATGGTACCAGAACAGGCGTATGAAGTGGAAGAAAATGGTAAGAGACATATACATTGTCATCTTTAAAAGTATGTTTTTTTTAAATCAAAACGCATTGATTTAACTGCTGACTTACCAATCCATGTAAACCTGGTTTGAACGATACATGTAAGAGTAGCAAACGGTATGACAGGAAGGGAGGGTGTGGTGTGAGGTGTGACCGATGATGACTGCAGCGAGAGCAAACACTTCTGTGAGGTCAACAACTCGGAGAACAAAAAAGAGCAGAAATCGTTAAAGATATATGTGTGCACAAGGGGCAGCTAGAAGCAATACGTCTTCTCCTAATTACTATAATAGCAACTGCTGCCGCCATTTGTCACCAGTCCACTAAGATTGTCTCTGTGTTATTCTAGGTGCTCAAAGGAGGTCACGAGGCCCCGACTAAGCCCAAGGGAAGACCCAAGAAGAACTCCATTCCAACCACGGAGGAAATCGAGGCTGAAGAGCGAAGAGTAAAGGTGGAGCAGGAGGATAAGATGAGGTGGGTGACAAAGGAGTCAGTGCTGGGTCACGGAGGAGAGGCGTCTCAGAGTGAACCTCAAGATCTCAGTTCAGAAACTCACAACCCGGCGATAGGGGGGTCCGAGCGGGAGCTGCCCCTCCTGATGCAGCCAGAGAGCCACGCAGCTAGCTAAGCCAGGACAAAACCAAAGACTGAAGCCAACCTGAAAACAAAGTGCCTCAGGATCACTGTAAAAAGCCTGTGTGGTGTTTCTTTGCTTTAGGGATTTGACTGGAAACATATTGCTGGAGTCCAATCTTTACCTAATGCAGCCTTTTTTTGTGTTTTAGATAACGTACAAAGAGCTGAAACGCATAGACACCGATTGCACTGGTAATGTTTTTGGCCTTAACATTTTTATTTGAACAGGTACCTGGTACAAGGAGCGTCAGATCAAAGCAAGTGTCAAAGCAAAACAGGTATCACCTCATCACCTTATTGTGCATTACAGTGATCAAACACACCGCCTCCAAGCTGCCTCACATAGTGCATGTGCCAAAATATCAAGATTTGCCTTACTGTAGTGTCTCTGTCTATCCATGTATTATAAATGACTTCACTGCCAAAACCTATAACATTAAACGGCTACGGTGCCTTGTCGGTCTCAGAGGAAAGCATTTTAAATGTGGGTAAAATAACTATAAAATGCAAGTATATATTTTTTACAGTGGTTTTCGATTACAAGTGCCGTTTTTTGAGACAGAGTTGTAACGTTTTGAAGAACACTTCCATGTTTACATTGGAGTTCTTCTGCACAGCTTTAAGGTGTTTATTATTTGGTCAGTAAAGCTCGCCTTTTTTTATTTTTCAAATCTGAACAATATCTGCCAAGCCATACACTGTATCATACTGTAGAAATGTGTATAAAGTTTAAAATATATGGTCTTTTGGATATAAATGTAAAACAGTATTTTTAACTGCTGTTTTGAATTGGATTAAAATCGTTTGTATGTATGTTACTGCCGTCCCTGAGCTTTCTTTCTCCGAAGTTTCATGGGAGTTGTCACGAGGCCACAAACACTCTTAAGCTGTCAGAGATTTTCAGATGGAATAAATCATAACCTGTGCGAGAGACGCACGGCATATGCTGAACATTTAAAATCTCGAAGACCTTTTTTAGCCTGCAGGCCGAGTACCCAAATCACTATGTTAGACTTGCATTAAATAACACTGTCTCTAACTGCCTGTCACTGACTTCTCTTGTACACCTGTACTCTCTTCCCTCCAAAGAATTGTAATTAAAGCCTTTCACTTTTTGAATTATACAGATTTATTTTTATTTGTTATTGTTTAATATGAAAAAGTGCAGTATTTTTCTGATGTAAATAATGCTTGTTTGGTAAGCTTGCTTGCAGTTTTTTTTAGGTTTGTGTACAATCATTTTTACTATATACAAGTGTGTGTTTATGTATTTAAATACACTTAATAAAAAACAATCATATAAATTCCACTTGTTTTTATTTGATGCAAATTAGTTATGATTGCCCAGAGATAAAAATCACCATATTTTTGGGTGCGTCTCTAATGAGAACAGTTCCACAAATAACTAAAGTTGCCTACAAGTCAAAAGTGCTGTCACGTCATGCTAATCAGAATCAGAATCAGAAACAGGTTTATTGCCAGGTAGGTTCGCACATACTAGGAATTTGACTTGATGTCATCGTGCATACATAACATATAATTGTGTGTGTGTGTGTTAGTGTGTGTGTGTGGTCTAGCATTACTATCCTTATGGGGACCTACATCTGTTTACACAGTCATGTGTGGGGACTCGCCTCCCTTATGGGGAAAAATGGGGAATCATTCATTTTAGGGTGAAGACTTGGTTAGGTTTAAGATTAGGATTAGGTTAAGGGTAAGGGTTATGCATGTGTTGGTTATGGTTAAGGTTAGGATAAGTCTCCAGGAAATGCATGTAAGTCAATGTAATGTCCCCTGAAGTGATGTATACATGGTATGTGTTAGTGTGTGTGTGTATGTGTGTGGTCTAGCATTACTATCCTTGTGGGGACCTACATCTGTTTACACAGTCATGTGTGGGGACTCGTCTCCCTTATGGGGAAACATGGGGAATCATTCATTTTAGGGTGAAGACTTGGTTAGGTTCAGGGTTAGGGTTAGGGTTAGGCATGTGTTGGTTATGGTTAAGGTTAGGATAAGTCTCCAGGAAATGCATGTAAGTCAATGTATTGTCCCCTGAAGTGATGTATACATGGTATGTGTGTGTATATGTGTGTGTAAAACAAACAGTTACTGTCGGTTGAAGTTCGGGCAGATCCATTACTGAGGAAGCTTTTGAAGATGTATTATCTGTAGTCAGAGTTTGCCATAAATCACGATCAAGAGAACAAAGCATTTTAAGCACTTTGTGTTTTGACATTTATCATCTTTATCTGCAGAGCAAACAGGTTGGCCTGTATTGAACCTGCGAGCTCCCTGTGACCCAGAGCCCGCCTGAAGAGTATTTTGAGTGCCTGATACTGGACATGGATGGTTTGTAAAGCAAACAGCACAGGTTTGCATTGAGTGAAGTGTGTGTGCGTGTGTGTACGCCCTGTGTAAACATTGTAAGTATGCTTCATGTGTGTGCGATGCATTCAACAGAAGAAGCTGCCACACTTCCAAGAAGAAGTGTGGCAAGAAATCGAACAAAAAAAGTGACTTATCTTGTGTTGTGTTTTCTTGTTTTTTTTCTTTTGCAATACAAATTGATTTATGCAGCACCTTTTGCTTCCTGTTGGAGCCTATTTAGAAGCATAGTTGCCATTTTGGCACAATTGTTGAGTGTGATCACAACAAATGCAAACGCATACAGTTTGAATGTGATTGGTTTTGATTTAGTGAACTTGTCTAGAACAATCCACAATGACCATAGCAGTTTAATATTACGCAAGGGACCTTTATATTTAATTGAATGACTAATAAAAACATTAGAAGCATAGGTATAACGTGAAAGGTGTGTGCATGGATTCCTATAATCAATGATATATTAGTCATAACCCTTGTATTGTCCTGTTTGCTTTTACTATTGAAGAACAACATTCAACTGCCAGTTTAAAGGAACTTGTATTACGCCTTTGATAATTTATGTTAACAACTGTTGACATATACAGGACAGTAGCTATTTATTGGAATACATTAAACTTTGATTGTTCAGAACTGGCCTTGCCCTTTGCTTTTGCAGAATGAGCCGTGACTCACCTCCTCGCCACCTCGCCACCTCACCACCTGGTTAATTAAATATAATAATAAAAAATAAAAAGAAAGTGTATCGGCCTTAATTGCAGGGAATGAGGACAAACATTTTCTTATTAAATATCCTTTGTGGACACACAGGCTCTGGCAGGCAGGTCTGTGATAAACCGCACTTTGCATGTCTCCACAGGCCGCTGAGCTGCAGGCTAATTGTTGTGTGGCGAGATGAGAAACTGGCGGCCTAATTGGAGAACCAGTTTTTTTCTCACAGGTCCTGGTTCAGGCGCAGGTCACAGGAGTGGAGTGCTGTCAAGCCTAGCGACCCCCCCACACTCCCTCCTACCACTAAGACATCCATTGCACACCTTCAACTGTCAGCTTAGCGTTCACTCAGGTAGTTAGGGGCTGATGTGAGGGGAGGAGTGGGTGTAGCTCACGGTATGTCACCCTCATTTGTGTCATGACAGAGGAAGTTATCTCTAAATGTTGAGTGCAGGAGCAGCAGCAGGGCTTACCAAAGTCAATAAAGGCGGATGCTTTCTACGGCGTGCACAATGCTCACCATTGTCTTGCATTAGCAGTTGAAGAGAGCAGTAATCATCGGAAATAGCAGGAGGATCACCTCCTCTCAAAGGAGCATGTGTGAGGCACGTGGCTGTTTGTATGAATCTGTTGAGCAAGATTTAAGTAAATAAATCCTTCTGGTGGAATGCTAGTAACAAATACAAATCATATTTACATTAGCCTTCGTAATATCACTCTTTTAAGACTCTAGTTTCAAACTCCTATTAGCAACATTGCATGTGTTCAGATTCATTTTTATGAATTGAAAATAGAGTGGACGCAAAGTGCAGAGGAATGCCAAATGGCTTTTAATTGACCATTAGTCTGAAAGTGCAAGCTGTTGATGGTTGCATACATTGCATATGGATGTTGTCATCAAATTGAAACCCTTGTGAATAACAAACTGTTTTCCAGCACTTGTTTTCTAGACAAACAGTTCAATCCACATCTGGTATCCTACACATTACTTGATTCAGTCTGATTTAGTTTTTTGCTACTGTTGAATAATGAAAAGTGGACAAGACTTTATGAGTTCAAGATTGTGTTCTGTAGAGTGTCGTCTGTGAACAACAAAACAAAAAAACATGATCAAACATTGTTATCTCACCTTGTACTGGTACGTGATATAGGTGGTTGCAGGTCATGAAATACAAAGGCTGGTTTGAGTAACAGATCAGAGAGTTTGAAAGCAACTCTGCAAAGCCCTTGGCAAGAGGGAAATCCATCCATCCCAAGATAAATAGTAGAAATACGATGATCATAAATGACTGCTGGCACTCACTTGATTGGCCTCTGCAGTACATTAATGGATGACGCTGCAGTGTTACAGCAAACATTGGGCCAGGTTCAGCTTTTTATGGCAAACAGCCCTGTTGTTTTTTGTTTTGCTCGACCCTTCACATTGACTAATTGAGTGATCCCATTCAAATGAATCAGGGAGCGGCATATTTTCATACAGAGCTGTTTCTGAAAGAACATGACTATAGACTTAAATAGGAGTATCCCTCTCACCTTGATAGCTTGTTGACAGGATTGTTAGCATATTTTTTAAATTCATTTCAGAACTCACTGTGTTGACCTGATTCTGAATACATGCTTCTGGACGCCATTGGCAGTTCTGCTTTACTTACAGAAGGTTTTATTATTTGCATCATCAACTAAGAAAAGCAAATTGATATTCTTTACATGTAAGGGAATCTGATTCTTTTATTGACTTAGAACAAGTTAGGAAAAAGGCCTTAAAATACAGACAGTTAACGTTAGGGTTTCATTGGGAAATCTATGTCCCAAGATTTCCTAAATAAAACTACCTACATGTAAATATCCAACATCATCCATTGCCCACTAGAGGTCACTACCACAGATTTGAAAGTAAATGAAGGTGAAGGGTTAGTTATTAATGGAAGTCAATGGATTGCTTTACTGTACCTATTTTCAAAAATGTATTACCTAAGAGCAGAAATGTAATAACACAATGCTGCGTAACAACTCAAAGACGTGCAGACTGAGTGTGCTAAGCATGCCCCTGTTGATGTACTGGGGGATCTTTTAGCCTAATGTATTTAGTGCGTTAATTACAGTGCTGCCCGCCTCTCTGCCGTCTGTCGGTAGTAAATGCTCTGGTCAACATGTCTGGGAGAAGAAGACACTGCCTCCCACCTCCAGGCTCTTAAGCCCATACATCAACCAGTAAGCATTGGTGTGTGTGTGTGTGTGTGTGTGTGTGTCTGCATGCTGTTTTGCTGCAGGGATATCGAAGGGCTTATGGAAGTCATGATCACTAGCTCAGGGGTGTATATCCGTCTGCTGAGGAGGTGGGCGGTAATAGACCTGTCAGATGAGTTTTACCCAGAAGCTACGGCGTGCTGCTATGTCCAAATCACTTCAGACTCCCCCAAACCCCAGAGACCTCCACGAAGATCCCTGTCAGGAATGGGCTTACCCCACACTGCTAACAGCCTAAACATGTGTGAATGTAAAAGATAACGGTCAGGTTTGAAAGATTTTGTTTCTTGATTTCACATCAGATACACTTTACATTTTTGGGGACTAATATCATTGCGTGTCGACAGTTATTTCCGTTTTAAATAACATTAAGATGAGCTGTCCAATTATTGTCCAATAATTCAGAGCTTTCAAACCAGCCCTAGGAATAGCATTGAACTAATCGACATTTCTTTAATGACATAATGTCAACGACTGCCAATGCAGGAAGCACTGTTCCCTTCATGTAAGGATGTGGAATTGAAAAAAAATCTGTTGCATTAAACATTGAAATGTAGCCCTAACCCTAAACCGTTTGGTGGTAGTCCAAATGTTGAAACAGAAATGGTCTGCCACATTGTCATCTGATCATCCAATCTATTTGCTCTGTTGTTGTTGTTGTTGTTGTTGTTGTTGTTGTTGTTGTTGTTGTTGTTGTTGTTCACATGATATCAAGAATACATAAATGATATGTAAAGCTGCTTAAAAGTACAAC